TGAGAATGAAAAAATTCAGAATCAATGTTCTAGGGGCTGCAAAACTTTCCCTGGGATCATCTTTCTTTGGTTACCTTTTACTTCTTTCATTGTTTGCGATGGGCTGTGAGAACTCGGAAGTGGCTGGGCTGACCATGTCGTATCACGGGTATGTTGGGAAGTGCAAACTTCAACATAAAGTTCTATTTCAAAACAAACTCCTTCCTCATTGTATTCCACAAGGAATATATTTTTGAACCGAGAATTGCTGACCTAAATATGCTTCTCAGAAATTTGATTCAAAGCAGTGGAAACCATTCCATCTATTCCAGTGGGCATTGTGTCAAAACCCTTTTGTGATTGTCTTCAGCCCTGAGGGCTTTATGCCACAACTGCAGATTATTTTTCTGATTACTTTTTAATTATTATTGCCATGGGACCCATCCTTTGAACCTACAAATTCCTGGAAATCTGAGGAGCTCAGTAGGGGGGTAATAATCAATTAATTGTTCTTTGCCTCTGTGTGCTGCTGAACAACCCATGGCATTTAACAGCTTCTGGACTCAAAACTTAAGGAAGTAAAGATTAACCGTGAGCACAGCGGTACGCTTGAGGCTGGCACTTTTTGGTCATTTTTGTCCCTGTTATTACCCTACAAAGCTCTTTCTGTGGAAGGGTCTTCCGTCTCTGATTGCACAGCAGGCCCAGGAGTAGCTCAGGTGTCTACTTCGGCAGGAGCTGGCAGACAGTGTACAGGTATCGGCCCTTCAGATTAGGTGAATCCCATTCCGGTCATTTCCCAGTGGTGATTTCCCATGAGTAACTCACTCCCCTCTTTGTAGCTGGAATAATCAAACTTTTGCCCAGGTTTGATGTAACTGCATCAAGCCTCAGATAATTAAAATCCTAGAAAATCTCACAAAATGCATGAATGGAAATTGCTAGCTGTCCTGCTTAAGAAAGTAACTATTATCTCATAGTAGGCACGTCAAATAGTAAAATACTTTTGATAAAAGAGAAATAAGAATGAACACTCCTGTGCAAAAGTGAAAAGAGACAGCACCTTAATGGACTAAAAATACAAGGCCAACTTCAGGTGCATCTGGCAGAAAGCATAACCCATGATTTGATAATGGTTTCTTTCACATCTACTAGAAAGCATAATTCCAATTTCTCTTCTTCTACAGAACCAAACAGATAACTCATTATGAGCAAGCTCTGTTTTCAGAGTGTAACTCAGGCTGCATATGTTCCAAAAATGACTGGGATCCTATATGTGGGGATAATGGAATTACCTACATTTCTGCTTGTCTTGCTGGCTGTCAGGCATCCAATGGAAGTGGAAAAAATACTGTAAGAGATTCTCCTATTTCTATACGTGACGTTGTAGTTTTCCTAATATAACTAGTTCTGGCACAGTAAATTAATTAAAACTGAGTAAGCTAAACCTTCCCCAATCATAAGCTCCTGAGGTTTTTAGCAATCTGCCACCCACTTTTAAAACTTTCTGAAGTGCTGCTTCCAGTAGATACCAAATGGAGAACGTAGGAGTTTTTTTTTTTTAGCTGTTGGCTACCAATGCCATTAAAAAAAAAAATACAGTCATCAAAAGTAGATATTTCCTTTAGATAATTCTTCTTCAATGAAACAGAATTTTTCCTGTTGTAAAACCTTTTCCATTTTGGAATTAAACTTCTGGCTACCCAGAAAAACATACTAGGGAATGAACATCCACTTTCTTCTGTTCTGGTTATCATGCCCTTTCACCTGCTATCTTTTAGGTATTTTATAACTGCAGCTGCGTGGGAATTTTAGAATCTCCTTCAAGAAGCTTCTCAGCTGTGGTGGGACCATGCCAAAAAGGAAATGAATGTCCAAAAATGTTTCTATATTTTCTGGTAGTATCGGTTATCACTTCATATACTTTGTCAATAGGTGGCACACCTGGATACATACTACTTCTAAGGTAAGCAATCATTTCTTTTAGCATTGCCAGATGTTTTCAAGGTGCTTTGATACCTGTAATCAGGTCTTTCTCCTTTCCTAATATTCTGTGACGTATTTTCAGCTATGCAAGGTGGATTTTAAAATACTTTCTCGCTACTAAAAAGCATCCTCACAATCTGGCAAGATGTTTTCTGCTACTGAAGCACGTACTTGTGATTATCTCTACCTTACACGTTTCTGGCTGTGAACATGATATAGCCGGCCTAGTTACCATTTGTATCAAATTCTACTCACCTTAATGCCTTTTACATTTTCAGAATGGTGTTAAATGGCCTTCATGTGAGTGGAAATCAGCTCTACACGTGTCTGTGTGCACATGTATGTACTTATAGATAACCAATTTTCCTCACTTGCAATGGATACCAATATTCAGGTACACAGAGGTGACCTAACACAAACCCAAAACCTCTGTATACGCTCAGTTCTTCCCCTTGGGTCCACTATATTTATCTATACAATTACTCCTTTAAAGATTTCTCTCTTCAGAATACAGATAGATTTGTCATGCAATGGTTTTTGCTATCGTAACAATCGTGGATTTATCCTGTGTGTCCCAAGAGGTTGTTCCACTACATATTTAACTGCTGGAACTATTTGTCCACCACCAAGTGTAAGCTTTTTAGCTAGTTTTAGAAAGTGCAAACAGAATGTAATACTTCCAGTGCATAATCTGGACTTTTGTCAACCTTTGGATTCCCAGTTCTGCACCACTCCGTCTAGGAAAGCTTTTTTTTTCAGTTCTTTTTTCCATATTATTTCCACATGGGTACATGCTACTTCTCAATTGAAACAGCAGCAAATATGTAATTAAGTTTTATTATTGCTGTGTTTTCTTACCCTAAAATTCTCTTTGCTTTTGAATGAACTTTTCTGGAACAGGCCCTATCTCATTGCCAGTGTCTTTATACCACACAGAAAAAGCCAGAGCTAGAACTGGCTGAATATATGTTATATAGAAAAACCTAAATAAGTAAATGTAACTCCAGCTGTGGTTCCAGCACAACCCTTGCATCAGAAGTAATGTTCACACAGAGCCTTTTAGAAATGATTAAGGTGAGGATCCTGCCCCATTGCCCTCCACAAACACTGCCAGTGAAGTACATGCCTTAAACCATGTGTAGCTTTCCACACCCACGTTGTAGCTGTGTCCAGCCCCAACAGTGTTATCATCGAGCGCTGCAAAAAGATGTGGTGTCTTTCTCTCCAAGCAGTGACTGCAGAAAGACCAATCATACTAGAATCCATTTAAGACCACTTTTTGCTGAAAAGTGAAACTATTCACCATGAAGCTGTCCATTCACCAAGAGGACAATGATTCACAAGCTGAGAGCTTGTAACACAGTGAAGCCATCAGCATTTCTGTCAGATTGCCCACCGTGGTTGCTTCTGCCACAGGAGGTTTTTCGGTTGTATAAAAATGGGCTTAGGGCTCTGCTGGGCTGCAGTCTCCTTCGCCTTTCCCTCCACATGTCACATCTCCCTTTTGTCCATAAAACATAGGGCAGGAAATAATGAACAGGCATAGTACCATATGGGGGCACAGCACCACCGTTGCCGTGCTCAGCGACTTGCTGTCTGTCCTGTCTCCATTGGAGAAATATTTGGCAGGAGACTCTCTTAGCTGGACATACACAAGCTTCAATCATATGGGGGTGCCTTGACTTCACAGCCCTAAGTGCCCACTCTCCAGGGACTTGCTGCTTAATGAATTTATTTGGAGAATTTCTTTAGAGCTGTTTTCAGTAAAGATCCTAACACATTTTGTTATATGAAATCAGAGAGCTTTATTGGTTCAGTTCCAGTACCTTTCATTCCTGTTGAAAATAATTTTACTTCGAGAGCAGTCTAATTGAAACTGAGAAATTATATGTTCCTTAGCTGGAATAAAGGCACCAGAATCTGTTCCACAGCTATATAAAACATGTTTCAATATGTTAAATCTACTTTTTTTTCTTCACAAATGACCTGAGGGCACAATTCCATATTAAGCTCATGCTCACTTTTCTGACATTTGTCGACAACTGGCTTTCCCTGAAAATCTGTCTGAACAAGACGCGTGCTTTTTTTCCCAGAAAAAAAACGCTCTTTGAAAAGAAGTACTCCTAAAGTCAAATTTCAGACTTCTTTTAAGTAATTTTTGCCATTATCTTTTAAAAAAAATTTTCAATATTCAGCCAGGTCTAATAAGAATCCAGGATTTGGGCACGTTGATGTTTTCAGATAAGTTTGGGATATCCTTGCATCTGCTGTGGAGCACAAATAGAACCAAATCCCCAAAGGCTTATAAGATTTAGTGACACTTGCTTCAAGAGTTTACAAAAGCAAATTCATTGAAGTACGCTTACAGCTAGTGATTGAGTCATTTGATGAAATGTCCTTTCAGTGGTTTTAGGCTAAAAACAATTGCCAATGAACTTGGGGAAGTCCTGAAGTTTTGGGGAAAAAAAATGCAATTTGGATTGCTGCTGTTTAAGGACAAGCAATGAATAGAAAGTCAGTAGGCAATGAAAAGGAAATCTTAGGTCTCCCAAAACAGGGCTGACTTTTCAAGGTCTTGAAAAAACACAGTTTCTGTGGAAAGATAACACAAATATGCATTTTTTTTTCCGTCTGAAGGAGAAGATGTCTGTATTATATTCTTTATGAAGAAATCTTAGCAGGATATCAGTCTTACAGAACAGATAATATGTATCCAGTTTTGGTTTTATTTTCCACTCTTTGCTTTCTATGCCTTCACATTTGGCTAAAATGACTTCCAGGCAGAGACTTGCTTGTGTAGCATGGATCCTATAGGGACAGTAAAACACTGTCACTCTGGATCGATATCGTATTTTGTCCATTTTTCCAGAGATGACAATGCCTGCATAAGTCACAATGGTAACAGATTGTACGACAAAAATCCATGATCAGGGCATTAGAGAGTGAAGCCCTCAGATCACAAAATGAGGCAGATACGAAGATTTTTTGACTGTGTCAATATCTTGATCTTGTTTTCCATACATGCCCTTCGTGTCCTTTTGCATTTTCACTAAATCAAGGGAAGATGATCTGGATCTTGTTCACAATAAGGGCTCTTAATGCTATCCTGGCAGGTACATTGGAATGTATCAAGCATGTCTCAGCTTAACCAAGTGACTGGGACTACTCACATGCTTAAAGTTAACCACGCGCTCAGGTTCTTGCTGGATTAGAGCAGCAGTGCCCAGGTGACCTGTCTTGCAATAGGCAGCCCAATATACAGTGTACGAAACAACACTTGAGCAACCGGTGAGGTTAGCAACAGAGGAACTGCACTAATTTGACTTGCTCCATAGGACACTGTCGCTAGAGTGTATATGAAGAGTGGCTGCTCTCCAGCCCACCTCGCCTACCCACCAGATGAGCCCCTGAGGCTTGAGTATCCCCAGTCTTGAGCCAGAAGGGCTTAGGTTTGTGCTCAGGAGCTATGGCTGGGCTCACATAGCAAGTTTGAATGCGGATAGTCTATTCTGTCAGAGTCAGAGATTTACCTTTACAGGAGATGTGATCCTGATCCCGGATACAGGAAAATTAAAATAGTATGCCTAAATGCCTTCTATTAATCTGGGTCATAATGTATCCACAATTTTATTGAGTGCTTAATTGAATGAGATGATTGTTCGATTTCATGAGCCTATTCTTGCTCTCTGTTTGTAACTCCTATAAGCTATTTTTGCTAATATTCCACCACCATTAAATTTTGATATTTAATATAGATATTAAGAAAAATGCACTACCACCATTAAATTTTGATATTTAATATCGATATTAAGAATTCCTAGATTCAATTTTAATTTTATCACATTATTTTCATACTTCTAGAATTCTGCTAAAGTCAGCTGCATTAAGGAGAGAAAAGTAATATCTCTTTCCTCCCTCATGCTTTCTATTTGTGTTCAAATTATGCACAATCAATTCTTTATTTCTACTTAACACTGATTTTTTTTATTTTTAGGTGCATTAAACCGCACTTGAAATCATTTGCGCTTGGGATCTATACTCTGGCAGTAAGAGTGCTTGGTAAGTTTGGTTGGGGATATTTTAATGTAGTCCTCTTTAGTCACTTATCTGAGAGTTAACCTTTGACTATTGGAAAGAACTGCTTCTAGCTGACAAGTCAACATTATATGATTACAAATAATAAAAAAAAATTAAAAAAAAAACAAGGACAAAGCTTGGTAGAAGGAAAGAAACTGTATATTATGTAAATCCTATAGCTGTATCATAACAAAAAACGTAAACTGACAGTGCACATTTGGAGGTGACAAGGGATCTGTCGTAGTACTATGAAGCTAACATCAAAATTACTTCTTGCCTCTTCTTATCCAATAAGAAGCCTAATAGACCGGACTAGAATATTTTGTGATCATTATTGAGGCATATTTTCGTTAAGTTCTCAGGGAATTCCTGAGGTCAGGGTGGACTGCAGCCCTGTGGTAAAGTTGCCTGCAAGCCTTCTCTAAAAGCAAGGTTGTCATGAGATGCCAATGAACCGAGAACTCTGAAATCTTCTAGGTCTTATTAGAATAGATAACAATTAGCAGAATGCAAGGCACATATTTCAATAGAGAAAAGTTAGATGAGCTGGGTGAGGCAGATGAAATGAAAAGAAGGTATCAGTTGTGTTCTTACAACTTCTTTGCGTGTGGAAGTGTCATTATTATTTTATATTGTACATTAGTATGCCTCTAGATCAGAACAGATTACCCTGGAAAGTAATGGTATTGCCTCTATTTATTTGTTAAATACATCCAGCCGGAATTCCAGCCCCAGTGTATTTTGGAGTGGCAATAGATACCACTTGTCTGAAATGGGGAAGCAAAAGATGTGGGGGAAGAGGAGCATGTAGACTCTATGATTCCAGTGCACTCAGGTAATACCTCTTGTCAGTTCATTCCTTAAATATATCTACACACAAAGGGCTAGCATTGGTAGGAGAATTTGCATCTAATAAATTGGGTGAAAAATTTTACCTTGAGTGAAAGAGTTTGAAAAGCAACAATAATAATAATGATAATAACAATAATGCTCAGTTTTTAGAGTGCTCTTTGTGTTTAGTCTTTTTTGGTTGACATTATTTCAATTTCTGCTGAAAATATTTAAGGCTCTGAATTTCTAGCCAAAAAAATTTCGATTCTCAGTTTTATACTAAAACTCCTCCCATTTTCTCAGCAGTTCTGCTGGGGGAGGGTTGGAGGGAGCCTGTTGTACCTCAGCATTGTTCCTTATTGGAGCTGGATCACAGGGAGGACGGGAAGGTGCCATGAAGCACGCCTGGCTTATTGAAAGGCTTAAGCTCTATGCTGACTTTATTGATTCATTGCTAGAGGAGAGTAATTATATGAACTGTATTCATGAAAAGCATTATCCTCCCATGGAGAATGGAACAACAATGGTAAAAGGAAAACAAGAGAACAGGGCTGCTGGTAAGTTGTCACCCCTTCCCCTCATCCCTCCAGAAATAAAACATGAGAAGAGGGGTGCATCCTCCTTTGAAAATTTCATCAGAGAAGAAAAGAACAAAACTCATTTGGGACTCAATACTAATAAAGCATAATGAGATATTATTGTTGTTGTTGTTATTGTCATTATTATTATCTGCCTGTAAAGCAAAAATACCATTGGTATCACTGGTACTGTTGATGAGGCAACCAAAAAATAAATTAATTGCCCTAGAAATATTAGCATTCTTCTCACCAAAGCACACTGGAATAGCGGATGACAGTCAAACGTTGGCACACTTTCTTTACCACTGTCCACACGATACCTGACCTAGGTGAGCTGAGCATCTCTTGCTACCAGCATCATCATCTTGCTACTTTGCTTGAACTCCTTCCTCACTCAGCTTCACTGCACAGAAATATAAATGTGTCCTTACTGCCAGGCTGCCTTCTAATTGTACATTGCCTTCAAGATAGGCTCTGATAGATCTTTTCTCTCACAGATACGTATATCTGGGACTGACTTTGGTGTTGGGCACCATGTCCATTTTCTTCAGCATCACAGTCCTTTGGGTCCTAAGGAAAAGGTCTGCTCCACAAGACGAGACCATCTCAGCCAACGGAAGAGGCGCTGGTTTGACAAAGAAGAAGAGAGACAATTTTGTCAATAGTGACCATTTGCTTCAGACAACTTACTGGCCAGAAAAGGAAACTAGACTTTAAGAAGATCGAGATTTTGACAGTGACTTTATAGAGTGAGAGGTGTTCCAAGCAAAAATTCATCATCATTAAAGCTCTTTAAGTGAGGTATCCTCTTAGTATACACCCCAGAAATGTTCATCTTTCTGTAATTTTCATTGTAAATATGAAAAACAAAAGACAAACATTTTAGAATGGGTATAGCTCTGAAAACACTACTCAACATTTGTCCTGCCAAGTCAGTGCAACTCAAAGGAGAGAATTTGCCAGGACTAAGGGGGTGCAGCTTGCTCCCTCTCTGAAAAGTAGGTTTTATGGCTGCTCCTCAGCTCTGTTTCTCCAGGTCTAGCCACAACCGTCGCTGCTGCCCTTGCTTACATCTGCACGTGAGAGGTGCTGCATGGGCTAGCTACGGTGCTCTTAGCCTTATTATCGACCCTGCAGAGAGCTGGTACACAAAAACTATTTTGTAAATGGAAGGTGCAGAGAATATCCTGCACTGATTCTCACACAAAACTCCCTCTTGCAAACAGCCCAGCACAGGGTAGGAGGAAGGTGGTTTACTGGAATGACAAACCAGCTGCAGGCTTTGAGCATCCCGTCAATTCTACCCATAACACTTGGGCCATCAAATGTTGTGGGTAGGGTTTTCTTTTCAAGTACACTCCAGCTCCATTATAGCACAACATTAACAGTAACGAAAATTGTTATTACAACAGTCAAAGATTCCGTGAGAATATCTTCCAAAGGAAACTGAAATGAAAAATAGAGCTTTTTTAGGTTTCCAGCAGTTTCTTCCTACTTGCTAATACTCAATGTACTGAATAATTCCATGCAATTTGTGCAGTGTAATAACACCATGATACAACATACACATGATTTATTTTTTAAAAAGCTATGACAAGATTTCTTGGGAATAATAAAATAAATTCAAAGACTGAGTGATCTGGGGCATTTCCTTTTAATTTGTGTCATTTGATTAGCTGGAACAAAGACTGCATGATAGTATCCCTCTATACCATTTCAATAATATTTGGTGTTCAATAAGTTTGGGGGAGGAGGGTTCAGCTTTTTTTTTCAAGGAAGCTTATGCTGAGATAGTGACAGTACCACTACAAGCAACATCTTTTAAAGCAATTAGTGTTTTAGAATGCCTGATGAGAGGCAGGTTTCACCTTTCATCAAAACAACCTCATGTCACATCACTTGCATCTCAGAAGTGACTGTAAGCTTCCTGCTTCCTACCTGAGTTTGCAGACCAGAGTTAGAAGCTAAGTCTCTCCTATGGGATGCATGGGAAGGGATAGACATAAGAATGGAGTTTGTTGAGCTTTATCAATGATAAATGTTTACAGTGGATCATTAGGGAGCTACCTAATCTATTCAATAGAACAGATTCCTCCCCAAGGACAAGGATGCTGCTTAAGCACCAAACCCCTGCAGAAGGGAAGGATGGAACCAGTCACTTCACAAAATGCAGTTGTCAGAGGAAGGACCTATGCCCTCTGCAGCTTACCACATAGGTGAGTGTTCAGACAGTCACTGGGAATATGGGAGACCCAGATCCCTGTCCTGCTCTTTGTCCTTCCAGGTGACTATCAGAGGTAACACATGATGGATACTGGAGGGTGGTATCCGTTGTCTTCTCTGTGCCTGGCATAGCTGGCTATTGAACGAAACAAATGAAGTTTTAAAAAAATGAGAATTCTGTGTAATGGGACTGACTAAGGCATTCTGGTTAGGGTGGTCACAAAGGCTGGCGGTCCAGTCTCAGGTCCCATTCATATGGTATTGTCCTAAAAATAACAACAAAATGCCAAATAGCATCAGCATGCAGGAAGGGGAGCTGCTCAGAGCCTTCCATAGTTTGCCTGGTAGAAGTGAACTCTCGTACCATGTGAGAGAATGGAGAATCCTAACTTGAGGGCATGCTAGGTTAAAAAAGGAGGAATATCTGCATTTCACTCAGTGCTGGACCTTGTATGCATGTCAGATAAATGAGGATGATTCCTAATTTGTGAATCAATCATAGATTGAGGCTTAGGGCAGGGATGTTGTTGCTCAGCAACACTGAAAGTAGCACAGAGACAGTTCTGCACGTGCTCTGCAGCAAGATGCTGAGGAAAATTTACTGGTTTACAGGCTGTACCAGTGCAGCTCAGTGCAGCCTTTGTGGATTTATGCTCTATACCAGAAAGCTCAAGTCTAAGCATTAACGGAGGCAAGGAAAAAAAGTCAAACCACTGCAGTAGTGACCACTACAACCAAACCAAATCAAGCCAAACTGCCAGACTCTGCAAACCTACAGTCTGTTGCACATTACTAGCCCTGACATCAACAGGTCTCAAGGTAATTCAGACTTAATCTCTATTTATTCCTAGTCTCAGTCAATGCAAACTTTGGTTCTTATCGGAGACTTACATAATTTCATGCCAAACAGAAAACAGTGAATTCCTAGAAGTTAACAAAAAACAGAAAACAAAAAACCTCAAATCCTACTGAGCAGGACAAAAGAGAAACTAAGAGAAATACATCCTGTTCTTCTAATTCAGAAAGAAGCATGAAAAGAAATAATTTTTCAGGTAATTACCTAAGCTTATATACATATGCCTGGACTTTTCAAGCATTGTTTTTACTTCCATGCCTTGTATCCATCACAGGTGAAAGGAAGAGGAATATTATAAAAGAATTTGCTCTAGCGAGGCTGATTTTCTTTATGGTTTACAAATGAGCAGTCCTTTCCTCTCACCTTTCAGCAATGATAATACTTTAAGCTACCAAGTAGATATATTCCATTTTCACTTTGAAATATTCTCAAGTCTACTGCTGTATTTTACTACTCCAGGTATTAAAGTGGATGCATGGATGGGTGTCTGACTAGAGATACATGCCCTGGATTGGTTATCGTAAATGATAAAATGGACTCAGCACTAAGGAATTTGGACCTGTCAAGTTCTTCCTACCAGAATTCTTTCTCTTAAACTAAATCTATGTCTTAAATTAAATCTACTACTGGTAATGTATCCCACTGGTTAACAAATTTAGATTTTTCTTTTCCTTTTTAGAACTACAGATATTAAACTGAGAGACTGTAAAATGACACATAGTTTTCCTTTTCAAAGGTGAGGCTGTTAAAAGAATTGGCTGAGGAGATTTCCAGACCACGGATGTCGGCATTTGAGGCTAGAAGGCGACACTCAACCTTGTCAAGAAGCACCCATGCATTGTATATCATGTAAGGATAATACACATGCTTCTTCATCCCATAGCAAGTGCCTGAATTGGCACACATTAGAGAGTATGTGCGTGTCAGGCCAATGTCACATGTTTGGAAGTGCAACCAAGCTTGGTACGTGAGTCTCCATGGTTTCTCTTCTGCTACCTAGCAAAAACGCACCTCTCCAGTGGCATAAAACAGCCTCCTTTAAAGCTAGTCATTCCAGCAGGCAAAATCAAGCAATTCTAACAAATGAAGGAGGCAAAAAGTGGGGGTTAATAGACTGTGAGACCAATGAATTTGACTCACAGATCATGTCCACCCAACATTTGAGCACAAAGAAGCATCAATACAGGAAGAAGTGTCTTCAGCTCGGTAGTCAGTAGGGCAGCTACCCCACCCTTGTGGCATTATTAAATTGCAACATCAAATTCTGGAATCTGAGGGAACTTCCAGAAGACAGAAGGCAAGCGATGTGAAAATACCAAGCAATATGTAAACTAAGTAATGATAGTCATGCTCAAAATAACGACTAGGATTGATGTATGAAACAGTTAGTGCGGTATTTTAAAATGCCAGTATGGCTATTTTCATCTGAGAGAGAACTTTGACCTTTTTTATGTTTTTACCATTTTGATTTGTTTGACTGTTGATGACACAGTACAGTTTCATAAAAAAAATTATTCACACATAGAAGCTATAAAGTGCACAGTACATAGAATCACAGGTAGTTAATTCACAGAGCTGGTTAAAAAGTATTTATAAATAGAGTCATTATAGACAATTCTGAGTGACATGAAGAAAGGGAGCATGCTTTTCTTGTTTAATACAAGAGCATCTGAGGACATCAATAACTGGCAAGTTCAGGATAAATAACAGAGGCACTGCCTTAGCTGACAAATAGTAGAATTATGGAGGTAGAAGTTTTTTTATATGGATACCTCAGAAAGTCTCAGACAAAAGTAAAAAAAAAATCCCTGGGGGCTGAAAGAGCATATGAGAAGGCATGGTTATATATATGAGCAATAGCAACAGAGATTAGGCCTATCCAGTCTGGAAAAAAGACAACTTAAAGGAAAAGGAAACAAAAGTCTAATAAACTGTAAGCGGAAGGAAAGTGTGACCAGGGATCAACTGCTCACCATCTCTTCCATTGCATGTACTAGGGCGCAACAAATGACGACCGTAGGAGTGAGGTTCAGAACAAACAGGCGGAGTTTACTTTTCACATAGTAGATATAAGACTTGTGAGATCATGCAAAAAAATGTTCTTGGGTTCAAAGAGAAATAGGGTAGTTACACAAAAGAAAGCTCCACTTGGGTCACTGTGTACCAGCCTTCCCCTACTACTGCTGCTCAAGAATTTCCTTGTATTGTGAAACTAAATGGATGTTGGGAGAATAATTTAAGTGTATCATATGCACTTGCTGATCCTTACTTTCCCTAAGCATCCTCCCTTGATACTGGCTGTCGGGGCCCTGAGGGCACTAATGGACCTGACCAGCCTCATCTGGGACCCCCACCCCCACCTCTGCCCAGGAGCCCAGGAGCTCCATTCCAGCTCAGCCCTGGGCACCTGCCCTTAGCTGAGCCACATTGAAGGTGTTCCTGTGCTCAGCCCGGACTTTTCCTGAATTTCTCTTCAATTTTCCTGGGTTGTCCTTGGGCCTGCCTTTAGCTAATGTTCACTGGACTGCCACTGGGACTTGCGGCTATGGCTGCCCCAGCTCTGCTCACCCTTCTCGGGTGCTGGGGGCTGTGCCTGTCGGCAAGGGCAGGGCACACGCTGGATTTGCCTTGGCTCCTGGCTCATCCCCACTTGTGGGCTATTCCCTACCAGAAACAGCCTTTGGGCTAGAGGGTGGTAGGTCTGACTCTGGCTAATCCTCTTTGTTATGGCCTTCTTACTCTCTAATGGAGTTAGGCATGAAGAGGTCTTCACCCGGTACTAATCAGCCTCCAGAAGAAAGCAAATACTTTGTTGTGATAAAAAATTATGAGATAGTAATTTTGAAGGTGGGGTCATTTAAAAACACTTGTTAAAATGACCTCACTTAAGCAATATGTGGTTAATATTACTAGGAGGTTGGTTAACCAATAGCTTATTGGAGTTTAAGACAGTTCATTGAATCCTGTGAAGTAGTATATAGGGAAAGGATTTAGTGGAGAGCAAACAGAGCGTGTTCTCATAGCATGACAGTGACTAGGTCAGGAAACTTCCTCTCGTGGCTGTGAAGCAAGGTAAGTTTGAGTGAACGGTTGTTGTATACGGGATGTTACTAGAACCCTCTTCTTGACTGTGTGCTGTTGCTATATCTAAAAGAAGATGCTGAGAAATGGGAACTGGTTTAGGAAAAAAAGCTATGAAAGTGCTATGCACTCAGGGAAAATCTATCAGAGTGAGAGACTAATAGCATGTATAGAAAATACAGATCATGTCCAAATTGCCTTCACATATGGGAAGATTTCTGACTGGAGAGGGCTAATTAATCCTATAGACAAAAGTAGAATATATTCCAGCACCTGGAAGTTAAATAGGACAAAACTGGATTAACAGTAACATACTTTTTCACTAGAACAACTTTCTTTAGGATCTTAACAATTTTTCTGTCATTTGCAGTCTTTAAATCAAGACTTGGCCCTTCTTGTAAAAGATTTGCTATAGTGCAACAAGACAGAGGACTAGGTTAGTGAAGTTATGTTATGTATTATGCCAGGCATTCAATTACTTGAGCATAATATTTTTTCCAGGTCTTGCCTCTCAGGGTAATATCCCAGACCATTTGAAGGTAATGGGGATTTTACCCCCGGTTTTCATCTGAAGAATTTTTTTCAGTGTTGTTATGCTATCCACATGTGCATATATACACATGTATTTACATCTATACACAGCACGCATTTGGTCTAGCTCCTCCAGAGGTCCGAGGACTCTCACCTGCCAATGACTTGCATATCCTCAGCTCTACATTTATAATAACAACCCTGAATCAGGTGGCTGATTGATACTGGACGCAAAGAGAAGCCGGACAATTATCATTACAGGCTACTCTTTGTATTTTAAATGGAAAAATAATAAACATCATTAAAACAGCACACTTCATTCTTTCTTCCCCTAGATTAGATGCATGATACAAATCAATAGCGAAAAAATTATCCATGAATTTTTATGAATGGCAAAAGCTTCGCAGATCAGTGGAAGGAATGGGTCTCAGGCAATAGCTAAGATGGTGACAATTTTTGATGACACCAAATCAGCTTGTAAGTATGCTTTTCTTTCTTTGTAGCAATACAGCAACAAACTGATATTAGATGCACTAAAACAGCAGTAGCATAAACTTTTTCCTTCTGTTGAAGTAGCTGCAAACATAATGTGAAGGGTTCTCACAGTCTCAGGACTCCTGCATTTGTTTAACGTATCCCTTCTTTTTCTTGATTCGTTAATCAAGAGTTAAATTCCAAAGTCCGTTAATTTCCTTTATTTAGGGATAAGTGGCCTGAGAATAAAAGGGCTCTAATCAAAGCTGCCCACTGCAGTTGGCCTCTGCCTGGCTGACTGCTACTGCTCGCTCATGCCTTGCAAATTTGTGCCTTGGCAGTCACTTCTTCTGGTGGGAGTTTGCTGCCACCCTCTGCCTGGAGGAGTCTGCAACCATCTCCTGCTGTAAAGGTGATGCTTAGTGTGACTTTTGTAAGAATTGTTTTTATTCTCAGGAGTAATCATCAATTACTAATATCTCAGCGTTCTTCTTATGGCGATCTTGCTCTCATAATCCAATTATTTCCCGTGAGTGTAAATTAAAGTTATATGGAAGGATTTCAATGAAGGAAAAAAAAAAAGGATGAGATGTGTCTTTTTTTCAGGTTTGGTGCCATAGTCTTTCACTTAACTACAGTACTTTCCTATTTCCCATTCTAGCTATTTTGGTCAATATCAAATGCTCTGGTTCATGAAGGCCACTTTGAGTGTGAATGCTTCCATGCATGGCTTGGACAATAGCAGTCTGAATATTAACAAATTCTTCTTAACTACATAGAAATGAAAAATAAAAGGTATTTTCATTCCAAAAGAAGTTATAAATTAGTAGTATATAGAGGACTAGAAAAAAAATGGGGAGAAATTGCTGTGTATTCATGCATTAGAGTGAGGAAGCCAAAGAAATACTGTTTTCCCTTTCTGCCATGTGAAAAATTGTCACTTTCTTCTACAGGTTCGATTACTTCCAGATTACAGAGTGCATTTAGCTTGCCTTTTTATGTTTTTAGAGCCATAAGGCAAAAAAATCTTGAGTAGATCTTTTAATATGTCTGAAAACAACCTGACAATGAAACCTTGGGGAAGGAATGATCAAGTTCATTACGGAATATCATAAAATAAGAGCCAACAGTTATCCTGACATAGGTAGAACATAATAACGGAGCGTGCGACACATCTGGGAAGAAGGATGAGCACACAGCTGGCTGTATGTGTCCTTCATGGAACACCAGTAACTACACAGAGAAGCAGGAGTACGGTATGCCGTTCTGTTATAAATAATGATAAACCAGTGCTTAGGCAGCCTATTGTGTAGATTAGCTGAAAATCTCAACAACATTGTAAAAAACTTACTAGAAGAGGAGGGCTGATGCTTTATCCCACAGTATAATGTGAAGAATCACTGCCTCTGAGAAGAAGAGGCCCATATCTGTTGTAGCACTTCTGCAGAAGAGCCATGAATTTGGACTTCTTACACAGAGTGAATTCTAAGCATGTGATTAATAGACCAAGAGGATACACTCTACTCTTTTCAGTGAAACGGCTTGTTCACTTATGTGTTTTTTCCTTAATTCAGACCTAAATTTGATAGATGCAGTCATAATAACATCATGTTTTTTCCTCTGCAACAATGAATTAAACCCCCTCTTTACTGTGTTACTGATCACTAGTCATGAAAAACCAGTAATAGCCCTGCACAAAAAGCTACAAGTAAAAGAAATCAATAAAATACGAAGAGAAGATTATGGAATATTACTGAACAAGTTGCCCTTGAAGCCATTATCGGGTGCACAATTAACTGGTGCCTGGGAACAGTGTGCATGGACATATCAAGGACAAATCATGCCTGACTAACCTGGTTGCCTTCTATAATGAGATGATTGGTCTGGTGGACAACGGGAGAGTCATGGATGTTGTTTACCAGGACATTCGATATCACTGATCTGGTGAGATATGAACTGGAAGAATAGACTATAAGGTGGGTGGAAAACTGGAAGATTTGAAGTTGTGATCAGCAGTTCAAAGTCCAGCTGGTAGCCTGTTGCTAGTGAAATTCCTCAGGGTTCAATACTAGGGCTAATTCTGTTTAACATCTTCATTACAGGCTTGGACAAGAGCATTGAAAGCATTCTCAGAAAGTTCATGTAAGACACCAAGCTGATGAAAGGAGCAGTCCATATGCTAGAGGGCAGAACGGCTGTCCAGAGGGGCCTCAATGAGGTTGGAGAAATGGGCTGGCAGAAACCTCATGTAGTTCAACAAATAAATGTGCAAAGCCCTTGCACCTTTGAATAGAATAAACCTACACAGCAGAATATGCTGAGGAGGCCAACTAGATACAAAGTGGAAAAGGACCTATTTATCCTGGTGGATAGTGAGCTGAACAAGAGGCAGCAGCGCACCTTTGAGGCTACTGCATTAACTGCATATTGGGCTACTTTTATGAAAAATCAGAAGTTCAGGAAAAGTGATTCTTTCCTTCTGTTCAGCACTAGTCAGGCTACATTTGGAGTATTGTATCTGGTGTGGGGCTCTCCAGCACAAGAAAGGCATTAGCAAACTGATTCAAATTGAGTGGAGGGCCACCAAGGTTGTGGTTCATATGCTCCAGCGGGCTGGAGCATATGAAATACAAGGAGAGGCTGAGGGAGCTAGGTTTGTTCAGCTTTGAGAAGTAAAGGCACAGTAAAGCAGGGGAAATCATATTGTTTCCTCCAACCACCTAATGAATGTTTATAGAGGAGACAGCACTGTTTCCTCAGAGGTGCACAGCAAAAGGTGAGAGGCAATTAACATAGGTTGGATAGAGATATTCCAGTTCTGCGTACGTACATACATATATGCACACACACACATTATATGTATATACACACACACACAGACACACACACACACACACATATATATATATGCGCATATTAGATATGTAAAGTAACATAGTAACATTACATTATCTATGTAAAGTTATTCACTGTGAGGCAGGTCAAACACTGGGCCAGGTGCCAAGGGAGGTAGTGGAACCTCCATCTTTGGAGTTCTTCATCCAAAACTTCACTTGACAAGATCTGAGAAACTTTAAAAAAACTTTGACATTAACCCTGCTTTGAGCAGAGGGTCACAGCAGATGAGCTCCAGAAGTTCCTTTCAATCTAAATTATGCTGTGACTCTAAGACTCTCGGCTTTTCTCTAAAATTATTTTTTTTTGGAAGATATCCCAAAGGTTGATGAAGCAAGCAGTTAAGAGCCATCTATTTTAGCTTTTTAAGCTGAGCACCAGTCTGGCTTGTTGATTTTATTTGCTGCTATCAGATTTCTGTTATATTATGTGCAACATTCCAGTTTCACTTTTGAAATAACAATAAAGGTGCAAAGTTGGAGGTACCTTTAAACAGGAGATAGTCTGGACACCGTAGAGAAAAAAAAGATGAATGATTATGAAAACAGCAAAATAAGACTGAAATACAGTGTAAAATAAAAAGTTGTGTGGCCTAAGGCCAATGACAGGAATTTCTGCTCTAAAGTACAATAGAGTAGCTAAGGGTTTCCATGCTTAGCTGGAAGTGTATGAGAAGACCCTGAGTGTACCTGTTATTTACAGATAACTATGTACTGTTCTGAAAAAGATGATTTGCTGAAAATGCTATATGTAATCTTAGAATATATCAAACAAGGCTAGAGATAAGGAATAATTAACATTTCAGGATGTGGCATTGGTGAGATTACACCTGGAAAATTGTATACTTTTTTAGCCATGTTCATTGGGGAAATATGAATCTAGTTGGAGCGCACTGTAGCCAAGGGCTCTGAGGATGAGCTGCAGAATCAAGAGAGCCTGTTTTTCAAGAGGTGATTAAACATGATCCGCTTGTTTATCTAGTAAAACGGGCTAAAAGTGTGATTGCTCTCTTCATTTACGATCAAGGTCAAGTGCTAAGTATCAGTCTGAAAGGAAGAACTTTTTAAGTTAAGGGGCCATGCCAGTGCAAAACCAGGATATAATTTAATCATGAGTTCTCATGAGCTGGAAACCAAAAGGAATTTTCTTGGCATCAGATGAGCAATGTTTTGCAGTAGGCTTAGAAGCAGATGAGCCATGGGAGGAAGATCTAATTCTTACTCATTTCAGGGTAGAGCTTGCCCGTTTCTCAAAAGATGGTTTTGAGATTGCAGACTGGATTTGTGATCTGGGATTCTGCCTGCATTCTTATGTTATTAATGCTTGCATTTAAATTGCCCTTACTTATAACTTTGGGATGACTACTGTCTTCTTGATGGTGGTGATGTCTTGTTTTGTGGAAGCTAAGGGGAACTGTTTGGCTGAGTGTCAGAAATAAAAGCTATGAACAGTGCCAGATATCATTGCCTATCTCATAACAATAATGAAGGCTGAATGATTAAGATAATCCAGAGGTGAATTTAGTTAAGTAGGCTGTAATTGTTCATACCAAGTAAAAGAATAAATGTGGTGACAGTATTTAGGGTTGCATAAATTACAATAAATGGCACATTTTGGCATCATGGCCAGACATCAGACCGTAGTCATAGTTTACATGCTCTAAAATGGACTTCTGTTTTAATTAAAATTACCCTTAGCAATCACGTATAATCCACAACAAGAGCAATTCAATAAAATACCTTTCAGGAAACCGGTTCAGGTTTCCTTGAGCTAGAGATGTAAGTAGATAAAGACCTGTTCCAAAGTACGCATAACCACTCTATATTTTCATATTGGGTTTGCGTGTGCTGTTACTAATACTGAGTATAAATCCAATTATTATTCAAAGCATGAATGTTTCTTGCTTATCCAGGTTGTTCAATATATTCAATGCATTATATTTTCTCTTCCTACGAATCCTTGGCTGGGTGCATCTGAATGAATTTTAGCCATAGATTAAGAAAATAAAACAACATATCAAGACGTGCTTAAGCTATCTGTTATAAGGAACACTTCTAAAGTTGGTTCATCCAGTTTTTAAGAGGAAAGAAGGTATGAATGATATGAAATTATAAATTTGACAAGCTCAGGAGAACAGGTGTTCCACAAAAGAGTGTGCAAATGAAGCACGCTTGCACATTTTCTACCTAATTAATTTTTGACCCCTGTAGATAAACATGTATTTGGGGACCTTTAACAGAGGGCAGAACTGGGAGGAGACAAGATTAAAACTGCCTAAACCACAGTTTATATTTGCTTATGTTAGAAGTTAATGATTCTTCTACCAAGTACCAGCACAACCTTGCTTAAGGAGAGACTGCTCAGGCTTTTGACCACTTGAGTGGTAGTATAGCTGCTGTTGTTGTGGATACAAAATCTAGGTAGGCACTTTTAAAATATTCTTTTTGTTTGTCTTAACCTTAAAATGTTAACATTTATGTTTGCAGTTAATGACCATTATCAGTGCAGTACTAGTAACATCTCCTGTGACCAGCAATACCCGTAACATTCCTCTTGCAATGATGGCATCCTACAGTTGTATGTGTCTCTCTGGACAGTAAACATCATATCTCTTGAGTAATGCAAGCAGCATTTAGGCCTGTGCAGCACTTTGTGTTATTCATTTCTCATAATACATTAACTTAACAGGTCTTTTTATGATTCCTTAGTGTATCTAGAGATCAGTAAGTCTCTTGGATTAGCACTGCAGTTGGTACAAGTCAGGATAGTTCCATAAACACCTGGATGAAATCTGGCTCCTGAGCTGTGATATTGTACTCTGCTGGATGGCGATACAGCTTTTCAGAGTGCAACTGCAGTGAGAAACAGCCCAAGGATTTACAGTTTCCTTGCTGGATTCTGAAAATTTCGTATTTTCTTTCACACCATTCTGTAAAGTCTGTAGCAAAATATTGTCTTCACCTTCATAAACTGATCACCTGTTGTTCATGCTGTGTTTAAATTATTGCCCATTATAATTTACATAGAAGTAGGGAGTGGGAAACCAAGCTAGAATTTGTTAAGTGTTCATTAAGGGATAGATAAATATTCTGTACCCCAAAGGTAGCAGCCTTTCTAAGGTCATATACTCAGAAGCACTGAAGAAGCCTGTGACTGTACTGTGCAAGGTGGGCTGCTGTATTTAGCAATGGACTTACAAGATGTTGTGTGCTTCCTGTGATGTTGTGAAAGCTGTCAGCTCCCACAAGCATAAATGATCCACACTGATTGCTAATTAAGACCCTTGATCTCCCCTCCCCCTAGGTATTTCTCTGAAGACACTATTTTGAGCACAAGAATAAACTAATACCTTTTTTCCTCTTTTTTCCCTATTTATCACAAGTATACTAGCTATTTGTTAGATATTCCCTGGGATTGATGCGAAAGTGAGCTAGAAAGAGAGCAATTGGAACAACATGGAAGAGTGTTAACTTTCATTCTCACGGTATGGCTTGGGCTTTGGGGATTTTTTCCTTATGCTTTCTATTTGGGGAAGGATTGTTTACTTTCCTAGGAAAGGAGACAAGGTAATTTTTTTGTTTAGGCTGAGTGACTACCTAAACAGGCTATTATATGCACAGCTATATGTTTGCACACTCCACTGTGTTACTTGGTAGATCTCTTTCTTCTGCAAACACAATGACTTTAAGACATCACTGCAGCAGAATGGCTTGTACAAGCAAAGAATAATTGTCGGAAAGAAGCAGGATAAGTGAATGAACAAATGTGCTGCAGAGAACTTCATATATTTCCTTTGCTGGTACTCAGATCCTTTGTTTAATAAATATGGAAACAAATTCTAGTGGAAAAATTCTAAAATAGCAACTTCACCAATACTTTTCAACCTTGAAATCATCAGGCTCAACAGTTAATTTAGGTTAATAACGACTGTAAACTTACCTTTTACCTTCTTCCTAATCTCCATGTGATATGACATCTCCCCAGCCCTGATCTTTTCCTATCTCTAACAGATTTCCACGTAGGTCAGGGTCAGCACAGGACAGCAGGAGATGCTGCCAGCAGCTTCAACTATTGGTCCTTGGACGTAGCCCACTCTAACGGTTCTCCAGCAGTCGTTGCATCACCTTTTCTCTTGGCTCTCCTCTTTCCCCAGCAACAGTCCTTCCAGTAGCACATGTGCAAAGCAGCAATAGTACACGTGCTATTCACCACTGACAGGAGCTAGTCACCCTGCTCTTTCCTGAGAGTCCTTCCCCCGGATGACTGGAGGAGCTCATCACTGACACTGCTACAGGCTACCAACTACTAGCTGGCCTCACACTTTTCTGCGTGCCTCACGCAATTTTGGCCCCCAGAACATGAATTTTACATCATTTTTCTTCTTTTTTTCTTCTTTTTCATCCTTTGTTTTGCCTGACACCTTAACCTCGCTATTTGCTGCTTTCTTCTTAAACTGCTCTTTGATACTGCTCTCACCTTCAGGACTGTCCTCCCTTCTTATGCCTTCAAAGTTCCTCTCTGAAGCATTTTCTTTCATGGCCTGCTAATATCTCAACTTCTCTTGTTAGTTATGGACACTTAGCAGCCTTTCTATTTTCTCTCTTTTACTCTTATTTCTATCTTCATATTTTTCTGCCTTCACTCTTTCTTTCCTTACATCCAGAATCTAAGTCCTGCTGTATCTTCAAACTCTCTAAAAAAGTCACTTCTATAGCCCTGCTACCAGTGATGACCTGCTATCTCAGCATCTTACTACAGTCCTTAATGTATCCTTATAAGAAAGAGAAGCTAATCTTCAGATTACATGGCTGTAGCTAAATTTTGGAGGACCGGATGCTCAAAAGTATTTTTGTACTCACTCCCCCAGTCAGACGCACAGAGAAGCTTCTCTCACAGACATTTCTGTTAGTAGATACGCAGGCTTGAGCAAATCTTTCCTTCACTGCTTGTTCGCCTCTGCCTGGGGAATCAAGGTGTACATGTGGGGAGTTATTTTTCATTTGGATTGGATTTTTGATGCAGACTTACAGTACAGCCACAGAAGCAGTGGTACTTGCTTGAGCGAAGAGTGCAGGAAGCAGATATGAGCAGTGGGAAAGGAAAGGAAAGTAGTTGTTTATGGCAGTAATAGGCTGATGAACTTAGAAACTTTTAAAGAAACTTTTAAACTGTTTAAATCTCTGCTTACTTGTTTTAAACATCATTGAGGCTTGCCCCATTTGAGTAAACAAAATTGTTCCTCACCACTGTACATTAGAGCAATGTCTGCCCTTCAACTGCTCTAAGAAGCGTTACTCTACCATAGGACCTGTAGCAGAGCAATTTGCAAATGCAGTTGGATTTTTTCCAGCATTGGAGTTCATCCAACTTTTTTCAGCTCCATTCAGCCATAGAAAACATCTCTTTGTATGCTTTTTTCCTCTCTCTATCTCTTTCTTCTTCTTTTCTCAAAGGAAGAAACTACTGTGAAAGGTGAAATAAATCAGTTCCTGTGAGCTGTGATTTCTGAGCTCTGAGTTGGGTTCATTAGTTCCAATATTCCCATCTTCTCTGTCTGTCAAGATCTGCATATCTGAAGAACGGTTTGTTTCAAGTGATCCGTTTTCTCAGAGAGGCTCTGCAGTGGCTTTTGGATCTTTCTTCAGAAACCTATTCTGTTTGTAGTTGGAGTTGCGCAAACGGGCAAGTGTTTTCATTCTTTAAATAAACTTTGAAAGTAGATATGTAAACTTCCCTTACAGCTTTTCACAAAAGTAGTCTCTTTTCATATTACTGAAAAAAACAGAAAAGACAAATGTGAAGTATGTACTATTTGTTGCAACAAATTCAACTTAATCATGCAACTAATCTTTCAACAATTAAAAAATCTGTTATTTTAAAGGAGGTGAAAGATTAGTCCTCGGTGGCTGCAGTATGTGTTCCTCACAGGGGAATTGTAGCAATTTTGCTGAACTGCTGAGCAGTAGTGGCATAGATATAGATATAGATTGCATTCTGCAGACAGAGAGGTACTAAGGATACCATGTATACCATTGCAAGAAGAAAGAACACCTAAGCTCCTTATAGGAGCTCAGGTAGCTGAAATAATTAGTTCTTTTTGTTATCAGTTGTTGTTTGTGACCAGCCAATGAAAAGGAATAAACAGGATGCAAGTAGATGGCATGGTATCATTAAACAGATCTTACCAGACCGCTGACTGAGTCCTAAGCAGATTGGCCCAGGAATGCAAAGTTTTCCTCGGACTGCCTATTCTTCAGCACTGATGCTATGTTCACCCCTTTAGGTTGCTTTTGGACAGAGGCTTTCTCTCGTACTCTTTGTAGAACTAGAAGTCATCTCACATCAAAAAAAAAAAGAAACAAACACACACACACAAAAATGGGGGGAGGAGGGAGAAGAACCATTTCATTAAAAAAAAAATCAAAACAAGATACTTCAAAACTGAAACAAATATACATTTTGAAACATCCAAGTCATTGAACCAAATCCTTCTCAATGAAAACATTCAGTTTCAACATCTCAGCATTTTCCCATAACTGCTATTTCATCAGAGAAATCCTCAGCCAACTTTACCTTGACGTATGTGTTCCTGTATTTATTATCATTTTCTCTTGGGCTCAGGTAATTCAGTAAAGAAATCAGCCATGACAGTGGAAACTGAATCCAGCCACATTGATGACTCAAACCAGGAAGCAGAACCTGCCCAGCTTTTGGATGATGAAGCAAATAAACAACTACCACTCAGAAAGAAGACTTCCTGTTGCACAGGCCTGAAGGTTTGGTGCCTTATCAATATCACGGCACATTACTGTTGTCATATGTTAAGAAATGTTCAAGATATGACATGACAGATTACTTTGTTCTTGTTCCCCCTGTCTCTTCTGAAACTGAATATACACTGGAGGTACAGGGAAGGGTTTAATCTTTTCAGACGTTGTCCTAAAGAAAATAAAAATTCCTGAGCTAACATATTTACCCTCAAGTTATTCACAGTTAAGGAGGGGGCTTAAGCCCCCTCCTTAGTCGAGAGGAGACCATTGCTACCATTGCAGAGAGGTAGCAATCTCCAGTGACAGACCTCATCCATCCTAGAGTCGGTGGCTTAGACACACTGCTGTCTGGAGGTTGCTATTGCCACCCATTTTTGTAGGGCCAAAATGGGGCAACAGAAATCCTATTCCAGGGCCTTTAGCAAATACTAAGGCCTTTACGCCAAACAGTCCACTGATTCACACCAGTACCTAAGCGTTCAGGAACACACAAGAAGAATTTAATGCATTGACAGAACAAGGCTGGTAGACTAATGAGAATTTTGCTTGCGTGTTAGAACCTTAGTATTTATCGTTTCTGGCTGAGCTGTAAATACTACAAGGGCAGGATTATTGTGAAACTGCTGTGTTTGGGTCTGTGTCTTGGCTAGTTCCTGAGCCAGCTTCATCTCAGGTTAATTCCATAGACTCAGTGGAGCTGTAATAGGGGACATGTTTCTCCCTATAAAAAGTCTGTAAAAGGAAAGATTAATGGAAAAAAAATAGGCAATTGCAGGTTTCCTAAACATCCAAAATGGTTTGGCTGAAGTATCAGGCTAAAGCTGTCAAATTCCATGTTTGCTGACTCACTTTTGCCATCCATACACATCCGCAAAAATATAACCTGATCTCTCTGGTAGAATCACGGGACTGGCTTTACCATCATATACACAGGCAATGCTGCAAGGCAGGGAATCTGAAACTGCATGTCTTGCCTTTATAGAATTGCCTTTATAGAATTAGAGTTTAATAGATTTAATAGACACAATACCTTTAGGGTAGTAAAAGGCTACTCCTTTTCTATTGCACCTTTCTATCAAAAGTTTTTATGGTTTACATTGGGATTGTGGTTTCAAATCAAAAATACCCAAGTCATTTCTGTTTGTGTTTTCGTGCTTATCTGCAGTTTGCAATTTCAGCTAGAACCCCAGAGAGAGGATTGCTGGAATAAGGCAAGATAGGTGATTTTGACAGACTTTTCTGCCAAATTGAACTCAGCAAATATAACACATATCAGGATAAGGCCTGTCCTTTGGAAATTTTTCCCTTCATTCCCAGACCAAAAGAGAATAAATATAACTATTTTCAAGCATTCACTGTCAGGATTGGCCTTTTTTCTTACCACAGATAGTAATGCAAAGGTCTAAACATGTATTTAATTTTGTTTACTTACCCAATGTTATATTGTATTGTAACTTTTACCCAGTGAGCAATAAGTCTATTTGTTTTTAGTCTCTGTTGAAATAGTTGGATAATAATTAAACAGACTTAGTTTAACTTGTTATCAAATATATCTTTGTTTGCAAAAGACACAATATGTGTTAGTGGAGGCAACTATAAAATTACAAAGAATAGTAAGCTTTCCTTTATGAGGTATGTGGTACACAAGCAACGTAGCTATGATCCATGTATTCAAAATAGATCTAGACAGAGATGAATCCAGATGAACAGGCCTAGAATAAGTGATACATGGCCCAGGCAGGAGAGAATTGTGGCTAAGGTTCATTTGAGGTTATATCAGTTTCAGTAAATCTCTGTTGATCAGGAATTTTACCAGTGGCACGTTTAACATTTCTGTGACATCTAGAAATCCCATCCTTTCAGCTGTCCAACACTGGGCCTCAGCACTTGGACAAACGTCATCACCGGACATCGGCAAGGCAAGCAGTCCCCAGGGAGTTGTTTGCCAGATTTAAGTTCCACAGTCCATAGGACTTCTTCCTTGGAAAACCTTTGATCAGCAACACAGGAAAGATCAGGCTTTCTGGTCATGAGGATGGCCAGAGCAACCCTGAACATAGGTAAAGCAAGCGGCTGCTCTCAGTGCAGAGCATAGGGCTAGCCCTCCCCAGCGGGGGAAACCAGAGCCAGGAGCAAAAGTCGCTGAAAGACCACTGTGACCCTTTGTAGCATTAAGGCCTGTGAAAATTCACACATCACGTTGTCACTGGAACTGGATTAAGAATGTCAACTCAATTAAAAGATATACTGTAATAATTGTTCCATACGAGTTTAAATTTATTTCATCTCTGTATAACCTACTTTCCTGTTCCTACTTCTCATTGTCCACCTTCATCTTTCCTCAGGTGTTTCTCGCTGCTTTATCATTCAGCTACTTTTGTAAAGCGTTGTCTGGTACGATTATGAAAAGTTCCATCACTCAAATTGAAAGAAGGTTTGACCTTACGTCCTCTACAGTTGGTCTCATTGATGGAAGCTTTGAGATGGGTAATTGATATCCCATAACAGAGAAATTTTTTCAGAGCAGTACGAGACAGCATCTGGTATTAATTTTTATTCTTTCTATTTTAGGTAATTTGCTGGTGATAGCATTTGTAAGTTACTTTGGAGCTAAACTTCATAGGCCTAAAGTAATAGCTGTTGGATGCTTTATTATGGCTTTGGGATGTATTTTAACAGCAATGCCTCATTTCTTCATGGGATAGTAAGTACTAATCAAGATTAATTTGGGTAACAGAACATTGGAACTGGATATTGTTTTCTGTTTTTTGAGCAAAAGCTAGTGTATATTAAGTCTTAGATTTCCAAAGACCTATAGAATCCCACCTGGAATAAGACCCAGCTAACTCAATAGTACATCAAATGAAAGGGCAATTAATCACATGTGACAAGCACATTACTGTACATTATACCTGGCTGAAAAAATATGGTTCCTCCAAGGTAAAAACTCAACTTTTGGTAAAAATTTGAAAACCAAAATGCTTTAATTTTCAGTCAGATTTGTTCTGGAGTAAAGACATAAAAGGAAATTATTTCTGAAAATCATTATAAATATGTATTTTTTCTTTTTGCAGGAAAGAGATACCTATGAAAATCTTTTGAAATACAAATTTTGAAATAAAAAATGTTATTCTTTGAAAGTCTTCAGCCGTCCAACCATGCTGATGTTACTGCTTTAAAGAACTGTATAATCTTCCTGGATGGCTTACTGTGAGAACACTTTATTAGAGAAATCAATAGTAATCTAGGAATTTGGTATCACAGGGTGTTAATAAAGATGTCAGGTTTATGTGGGCAGGAAAGTTAAAGCATCATGAATCACAGTAAAATTATTAAGATACACCTACTATAGAACCCATCTATATGATTCGCAGAATAAGTTGCAATTTGTGCTGTTCTGAATAGGTCCTCAAAGCTTTGAGCCGGTAGCTTCGTACTGGGTGACAACCCTACCTGAGATACGACTTTACAGTAACAGGCAACCCTCATGCAGAAGCGGGGCTTCGACGCTAAATCATTGGAAAAAACAACCTACAAAGGTGCTTGTTAGAAGGAATCCAGCTCCCTGGAAGAGGCACCCAGAGCCTCTTTGTGGCCTCGGCCAGCCTAGTTGTGAAACGGATTCTGCACTCTCCCATGGCAAACAGCACTCTCTCACACAAAGAAGCCTTTCAGCTTCAGTGAGAGTCTGCAGATGAATCAGTGCTCATAGAAATGGTCCCAGGTTTTTTTCCTGTTCCAAATGCTCATGGCTGGTTAAACTGATTTTCCGTAGCTGGTTAAATCAATTTTTATGCATCTTCTCCAGATTCAGAGGTTTACTATATTTGGCTTATAAGCAATGATGTTTCTAGTCATAGCTCTGACATAGTGAAACTATATAGTGAGGTCTATTTCTGTTGCTCCATTAGATGCATTAGAATAATGATAGGTGTACTATGGTAAAAAGAAAACTAAAGAGTACATTTCATCACATGGTGGATCTTGCACTTGCATGAGGCTTGTATTTCCCACTGCTTAGGTCAAACTGTGTATCTGGCTTGTGTACACTTGTGTACACTCATGAAGTTTCTCATGAGCTAGGGACTGAATTTTTCTGAGGAAATGGTCTGCACTGTCTCCCAAGATGAACACGCTTTGTTTCAAACTGAAAATAAGACTGCGTGGTCTAGCAGAACCAGTCCAGTTCCTAGAAGCAGAAAGTACATTTTACCATATTGTTGTGCCTGAACTAATTGTACTTTGCACCTCAGGTGCATCTGCGGGAGTTAGTATCTGGGAAGATCATTGTGCTAAAACAGCTGGGCTGCTTCTAGCACCTGAGCAGCTCAGCTATCTCCCTACAGCATTGCCCAATGCCCTGTAAATACACTCAAACAGCGCCTTTTAGAGATTATCTACTGTCTGCTATCCAATGGCTCATTCTAAAGCCAATGTCAATTAACAGGCCAACAGGTACATCCTGAGGATGATTTTTCCCTTTCCCACTCCCCAAGATGAGTATTTAAGATAAAAAGGGGGCTTGCGCTCCAGAGGTTTATCCTTCTCTCCTTGTTTGTAGGGTTAACAACAGGAAGCTGGTGTGAGCCAGAGCCTGCAGTTTGACACCAAAAGTTTAATCCTACCTCACCTATTTTCAAAAGTCCCTTTGAAATTTCCGGTTTAAACTACTGAGTCTTCTAGATAGCTTCTAACTTTGATTTGCTCTTCATTTTAGTGTTTCAGTTTTCCATGTTTTAAAAGCGTACTTAAATAATGCTCTTTTTTACTCCTTTGTTAACACTTCGGACTGATATTTCAAAAAAAAAATACCTTTCTCTTTAAGGAAATAGCAGTCAGGTGATTGCTATATACTAATATTTCCCTAGTAAATGCTACTTCTGAATGTACTACTGTGTGTTTCCAGCTACAACTATGAGACAGCATCACGTGCGAAATCTTCAGTCAACTTAACTTCAGACATAAATCCTTGTTTGCTACATCAAGATGCCAACAAAACTTTGTTAGAAGTCTCACAATCAGGTAAGGAAGTGTAAGTACAAATGCAGCAGCTAAGTTTTATCCTGTGTATACCTTGGTCTTAAGTTGAGTGAATCATTCTCCAGTGCAGAATGCTCATTAGATTTCTAACTTCAGGCTCTACCTGCCTGGGAGTATTACCAATACTTAAATGCACTGTGTGCATTTCATTTGGAGAGGAAACATCCAGTAAACACAGATTACTAGGATCCAGATCCCCAGTTTCCTACGTTCACCCTTTGAGATTACAATAAAATGACCCTAATGTTAAAGGAATTGCTGAGAATGCATGAAAAGAGAATTAACTTCCAAAGAGATTGAGGGACCCAGGGGAGAGAAAGAAAAGGGGGGAGGGGAGTCAGGAAGGGAGCTGGAAGTGCACAGAGTTAACTGGAAATGAATGGAGGTTTCTATGATTTTTACTTGCAAATATGGTGCATTCCTTTTTGCTTTGCATGCTGCGTGGGTAGAGAAAGAGTCAAGTTGTGCCCCAGTAACCATCTCTAACTTCTCAGGTTAAAGATGTAAGTTACATGCCAGATAATATAACAATATAAATCTATCATTTTTTTTACATGAGTATTTTTGGGGGGCTGATACCTGTATCTTTGGAAACCAAACTTGATGGAGGTTAAAGTAAGTGTTACTGAAAGATTATTAAAAAACGTAATGAGATTGACAAGCTTATCTTAATCTTCCATAAGGAGAATGTTGTTTAACGCCTTACATACTAAATTATGATCATTCTGTGCGCTTAATACCCTGAGATTTGTCACCATTTCCCATTCAAATATTCTGTTTTGAAGATGTAACCCTCATTATGTGCAGGCTGTGAAAAAGAAACATCATCATACATGTGGATATATATCTTACTGGGAAACATGTTACGTGGAATTGGTGAGACACCGATAACACCACTGGGCATCTCTTATCTGGATGATTTCGCTAAGGAAGAAGATGCCCCTGTATACATAGGTAATCTCAATATGAAATAAACTGAGAGGTCTGTAGTGTAAGAAACAGATTATCCTCTGCAGAAGAAATTGTTCAGCCATTAAAATATACTTGCATTTGCTTTGTTATATTTTCAGCAAGTTTGCACACAATAGCCATGTTTGGCCCAATGTTTGGTTTCCTGTTGGGATCGCTATGTGCAAAGCTGTACGTGGATGTTGGATTTGTGGATTTAGGTAAGCAAAGTGGAGGTAAAGTGAAAGTAAGCTAATATATGACAATCAATTTGCATCACTATTAGTAATAGATTCTGCTACTACATCTATGTATTTTTTTTTATCATATTCCAAGATGTTGCTGGTAGTTTGTTTTGGGAGGAAAGATGGAATTAGACAGAGGATGTGTTTTAGAATCCTGCTTTAGGATTAAAGGATTAACTACATGCTTAATTTTTAAAATTAGTACCAAGAAATCTCACTGAACAAAGGTGTTTTACTAAATTGAAACCTTAATGTAAGGGTTTTGCTGGCATAGCAGTTTTTCAGTTTTGGTGAACTACCTCCTCTTTCATATGGGCATTTAAAAATATTTAGAATTTATTTAATGCTTGCGATATATTTTACACTTTTGCCAGTTCGTACTACTTTGAATGAAAAGAAAACACATGACTGCGTGGCCTGCAAAATGCCAGAGAGGGCAGGGCAATCTCTGCAAGCGGTGACCATAGCCCTGCTCACTTACGCTTGGAAGAGGCAGGAACCATTTATGAAACCGTGTTTCCTGGCCAGCCCATCTTCCATTCCACCGGACAAGCCAGGGATAGTCAGGCAGTTTGGACTGGTGGAAAATTTTCAGAAGACAACCCATCGAAACAGCAGCAGTGGGTGATCCCGTTTTACTGGGAGAGGAGAACTTGAGCTCTTCAGGACCCTGTGCTTGGATAGATGAATTGTTTTATGTCTGCTCTGTGTTAAGCCAACATTATATTTTACCTAAGCATAAGGACATCGAACCAGTTCTGATCACACAATGAAAAGTCTTCTAGTGTTCGTCCACCAACAAACCTGAAGGCATATAGCAGTCATAAAAATACAATAAACCACTCTCATTTCATTTGTAATACATAATCAAGTGTAAATTCATGGCTAATCTCACTGAAGCCAAAGAGAACGGCCATATGCTTAATCCAAAGAGAACGACCATATACTTAGTTTGAGGAGAAATCTGTCAGGCCTAAAGGACCCAGTGTTTGGGGTCTGTCTGCCACCTATTTGGACTCCTCTGTGCAGTATGACTGCTGTGTTGGCCTTGATGCCACAAAATGGGAGTCAGTTTATGCCATAGGAAGATAGGTGAACCATAACGCCATCCAGGGTGTGATTCCTCATGCCTTCATCTAATGAGAGACCTTTCATGCCATGATTATCTTTACCATTGAGAGTCAGACATTGTCAAATGTAGCTATTTTTGCAGGTTGAGAGTGGAAACTTCCAATTTCTTTATTTAAATAACTCGTTTCTGTCTCGCTTGATTCTAGAGAGCATCACTATAACCCCACAGGATTCCCGTTGGGTGGGTGCATGGTGGCTGGGTTTTATAATAGCTGGAACAACCAGTCTCCTAGCTGCTATTCCTTTCTGCTTCCTGCCAAAGAGTCTGAAAAAGCCAGAGGAAGCCAAAAACGACAAAACGTCATCTGATCTCCTGGGAGCCATGAGGAAGACACATACTTCTGTAAAACCTAACTCAAAGAAGTGGTCAGCAATCTTGAAAGGCAAGTGGTTTGCATGTTGTATAAATACAGAAAGTAATTGGTACAAGGTACAGCAGGAACATGATAGTTCTGCTGAAAACTTCACCTCCCCAGCACTTCAAACTAAACCAATTGGCTATTCTCAGGAGATGAGGTGTCTGCTAAAGATTATTTGAAGACAAAGAGCACCTTCAGGATTGTGAGGATCTGTGTGCTTTGAATCATTGCATGAGTGACACCTACCTCTAAAACTTTGCAGTGGAATAGATTAGGATTGTGGGAAAAATTGTTTCTGTATTAGAACCTAAAGAAATAGAAGAAAAAAGAAGGCTCCTTTTGCAATACAGAAAGCTGAATTGTTTTTCTGGTCATCATAGAGTTCATGGAGACTCTGAAGCACCTTGCTTCCTCAGGAAGGTAAGGTAGGCTTGAAATTCAGTTCTGGCTGAGTAGTGCTTAGGCTAGGAAAGTGGGGACATAGCGGGCAAGGAAGACTGCTTTGTATCATCAAGAAAATTCCTTTGTTCAGATTCCACTGGAAAACATGCCATTGGGCATCTCTAGAAAGGAACTCCTCTCTTAGCCTTGAACCTCTGGTGACGTTCATGTGAAGTGAAAGAACTCTTTGCTGTGTGAAAACTCTTGTCATGTGTGGATCTCACTATAGGAGCAAGGCCTTAATTGGTAGTTCTATCGTTTTTTAAGTTTGCCATTTCATAGGATTCCCTTCTCTTATCTCAACCCTTGGTATTTTATCTAAGAACCAGACACTGTTTTCAGATACTCTGCAAATGAAGATCAGTATGATATGCACTTGGACAGCTGAGGAAAGAATTTCTCTATAAATTTCATAGATTATTCATTAGCAATTATGCCATGTATCTTTCAAAGCCAGCTCATGTATCCCTTTCTTTCAGATTTCTGTACTTCCCTGAAAAAAGTCCTGAGTAATCCAATGTACTTTACGCTTCTGTGCAGCTCACTGTTACAGTTCAGTAGCTTTATCGGTTTCTTGACTTACAAACCAAAGTACATGGAACAGCAGTATGGACAATCTGTATCTAAATCTAACTTTATCATAGGTGAGTGACACTGTGCAATGACTATGTGTATGCATGGGGAGAAGTTCTGGCATGCTTTTTCTGGGACCAAATTCCTTGTAGAACAGACTGATGTAAATGCAGGGGGAAGGGCATCCCCCCCCAAAGCTGAATTATATAAAGGCAGCATACAAACTACTTCTTTGGTGTCTGTGGGACCAGAAGAAAGAAAGAACAAGGACCCCCAAAATGTGGAATGGATGTGGTATGGGAGTTTCAAATGTTTCAGCATCTGACTGGTGGGTGCTTGTGGTGGAAGTGGGAGCCAAAGCCCGCGCTAAGAAGCTGGACGCACAGTGTTTTTAAGAATTAGACACTTCAAAATAGCATGCCAGACATACGGAACAGGCTGAGCAGGCAGCCACCTAGAGTCATCATATACAATATACAGCTGCCTAGGACATCTTCCCAAGAGCAGAAGTTGGCCCTTCAATGCAGTGAGTCTCTTATTTTAACATTCCTATTCTGTAATCTCTTTCAGGATTGACATCGTTACCTCCTGTGGGTATTGGGATTTTCCTAGGAGGGCTCATAATGAAGAAGTACAAAATGAGTATCGTTGGAGCAGCCAAGTTTGCGCTTAGCATGTCATTTTTGGCCTTCCTCTTCACTCTCTTGCACTTATTTGTGGGCTGTGAGAACCATGTGGTGGCAGGACTGACAGTGTCCTATGATGGGTGAGTGTAAAACGAATAGTGCATTTCTCTTCGTGGGAGCAAGGAAATAGTCCAAATGCTATACTATGACATCAAGGCTAAAATAGGAAAATGCTTTTGCATTGCTTAGAGGAAGTGAACGCTACAAAGTGTCATTGTCATGGTTTTGTTGAACAGGGGAGTGCCAGCCTGCCAGAGTACAGCACTGGCGAGTTTAATTACAAATATATTGGCAAAATTACATTGTTACAATGTAGGTCATCTGGTTGCTGCAGGGGTTGTTTTGTTATTTCACATACTGCTGCCTTTACACTAGAAGTTGCTTTTCTAACAAAGCGTATCCAAACTTGGTAAAAAGGTGAGGTATATGTAACATATAGCATAGCGTTGATAGCATATTCTGCACAGAGATGGAAAGACATGCTAGATTCTCAGTCTGCTATAAAGCAAAACAAAGCTTTTTTGCCTACTAAGGATGTTCTCTAGAACCAGGGTTCAGAGGTTACTGGCTTTTTTTTTTTTTTTTTTTTTGGAGTGAGTAAAGCCATCAGTCCAGTGGATGTGTCCTATGATGTGTTTCCAGAGGGGCCCAGAGGCACACCAGCATGGTTATACAGCTTCTGGGTTGGCACTGTCTCGTGTCCAGCCAGCTCAGAGTCCCTCATAGCTAGTGTGAATCTGCCTGCAGCTTCCTGAAAGCTTATCCTCAGTTGAATAATCTGCCAGTACAACTCATTTATCAAACCACAGTGGCTCAAAGCTTAAAATGTGGAACCAGATATGCAGAATGCCAAGGATTTTGACATTTGTTGGAAGCTGAGGATGAACTGTCTGTCATGCCTCCTGTACCCAACAATATTTTCACTAAGATCTCAAATGGTGAAACAGGGAATGTGCTCACTAAAGCACCAGGATGAAAGAGATGTCAAACACATAAGCTTAATTACTCCAGAAGAGAGGAGATGAAGGAAGACACCTGTGTTACAGATCTTGCTACCAAAAAGATGCCTGAAAGTAAACAGGAATACTTCATGCTCCATGTCCTCCAGGAAGAGTTAGGCTAAGCTTGAAGAGGGAGTATTTTTAATGGTGAAGACCAGGAAAGCTAGTTTCATCACTGGTGCCTTTTACCAACAGTTAAACAAATATTTGACAAAGCTGTCTTAACTGTTGCTACTCATCCTGACAATTAGGGGATAACTTAGCTAACTTCAAAGGCTTGCAGCTTTTCCTTTTTCTTTCTTTTTTCTGTCTATACCTGGGAGCTAAAATCAGCAGCAACATTTTTATTGGTTGCAAAGTTCTTTATTATGTAGCAATCATCTTAATATGATTAATATGGAAGTGGGACAGAATCCCAAGCAAAGAGATCGATACTGGAGAAGCTCAACTATTAAGACTTATGTCCTAGGCTCTGAGTTTCAGAGTAGTGGCACTGTCAGATAGAGGGGAAAGTCAAAGGGTTTAAACTGACCTTAGCACTGGATTGAAAGTTGTTCTTACACCAGTCTAAAATTAATTTCTAAGCAAACCCATTCAGCACCGTGAAAATGCCTTATTTTCTGATTGCAACTCTGACTGCAAATGTGCTGCCAATGTGTGGGACCCTGTGTGTGGAGACAATGGAATTACATACGTTTCAGCGTGTCTTGCAGGGTGCACAGCTTCGGTGGGACATGGCAAGAACATGGTAAGGGCACACTCCAGTTTCTAGGGAGCTTTTTTTACTAGCTTATTTTCTATATAACATCAGAGACTTAGTATTGTCATGCATTTAGAGGAAATCAAAGATAGTGGGGAACAACAAAAAAATGTTTATGATCTCTGGCCACAAACACCATGGAGAACTAGAGATTTCCCTGAGTTATTACCTATTAGGCAAAAAATCCAAGCTCTTTGTTGTGGATACTAAACTAAGGTAGAAAAAACAATTCAAAGTGCTTATGTATGCCCATTGTCCATGGTCTGCCTTTTATATATAAATTTTCTGATGCCAGATGACCATCCTAGAAAATACATGGTCTAGGGTAGTCTCTCTCACTCAGATAGAATTTTGTCTGCAACAGATTTTTCTTTATGGCCAGTTTCTTATTGGTACCTACAGTGATCTTTTCCAAAGGAATTCTTTGCTTAAACTCTTATAGGTTGAAGGAAGGGGTGAAGTTGGGCTCAGCAGATTCTATGAAACTGGGACTATTGCCTTTCACTGTGTCTGTAGAGGTTGAGGTTCACAGTGCACAGCTCTCCTCACCTCAGCAGACCTCCATGCCTCTCAATCCCTGTGTAAAAAGGAGGTTATTGCTCTCAAACTCTCAGTACACCTGCTGCTGACCTCAGAGCACTGCATGCACTACAACTTGGCAGGTAGCTGATGCTTACAGCTGCAAGGTACCTCTGGTGGCTGATGCATCAGCTTTAGCAGGGGGAGGTGTGACCTGGGTGTTTTCACCGAGATAAGGTTGCTAATAGGTGGCATAACCCAGCTGCCAAAGACACCAGTCCCTAAGCCTGTTGTTGCCTTTTGACTCCCCTTCAGGGACGCAAAGGGTGAGGCCAGCCCTGCAGGTGCTCCGAGCACCTCCCCAAAAGTAGTGTTAAGTCCACTGATAAAAGCACACTGGCAGGGAACATCCCTTCCTCCTCGGAGTACTCTTTATAGAAAAGAAAAGAAGCTGCTGCTGCCCCTCTAAAGCAAACATGATAGGAGTAGGACGCTTAGCAAGGCTGCAGCCACTGCCTGCACCTAGCAGTGAGATGTGCCGCCACACGGGCAATGCTCCACCCAATCTCCCTTATGTCTTTCAGCTCTTCCATAACTGTAGCTGCCTTGAAGCCAGCGGGTCACAGTGGGGAAATAACTCTGTCACTTTGGGACAATGTCCAAAAAGTGATGCTTGTTCAAGGAACTTTATTTATTATACAGTAATACAAGTCATAAGCGGCTTTTGTTATGCATTGGGAGGCACCCCAGCTTACATGCTGATGTTTAGGTAAGTAAAATTAAGTGAGTATGCACCAAGGGTAGTCTTTACAATGGAGGGGATCGATCGTGGTGATGTTTAGGTTTCTTTCTCTTGCAGTATAACAAAAACTCTCTTGCGGTATAACCAGCACAACATATTTTCTCTACTAAGTTTTCCCATTTCCCATCTGTGGTTGCTAGCATCACACCTTACTTTGTTGCTGGCAGTCAGTCAGTTTCTGAGTGTGGCTTCCACATAATGGTGCTTCTTACAGCTATCATAGACCTCATTTTTCCAGAACACCTCTTCCTCTTTTTGGCTGTTTTGGCTACATGAGTTTTGAAAACACTGTGCACTTGTCAAGATTACTGGATGTGGGGTAGACCTAACAGATTATGCTTATCAGATGTCTGTAAATTCAGGACATCTGAGGCACCTATGCACATATCTTTTGTGGTATGCAGGTGGAGGGATACCAGGATGCAATTAGAAACATGTATACAAATTGGTATATACTTTTCAGTAGCCTGACTAGTAAGCTCAAGCAGTAGAAAAATACATCGGTGGTAAATTTAATAAAAGTCCCAAGGACACTGTGTCATCCTAAATGAGTATGGAAATCAGAACGCAAACTCCCTCCTTCCTAGTCATTGTAAGACATCTTTCTGAATGTTGTCCATGTTAATATTTGTAAGAGGACAGACTGGATTTATAATGGATTCGAGATCAGTGCCCAATTCAGATGCTTGCAATGTGGTTCCCCACAAAACTGATGGACGTACTGCCAGATGGCTTGGTGTAGTTCAAGATGTGGCAATTGAACAGACTGCTTTGACAGATGTCATTTGAGAAGAAAAAGATGCTGCAGCAATGCAGTTACTTGCAACACTTCTGCCTCAGAGCAATAAGATATTTTCTATCACTTGAGTAAAATATTTCTCATCAAGTGAGAAAATTTGTGCCGGTGGCTTAAGGCAGCTGGGGACCCCATTTCAGTAACTCTAGGAAAGAGAGTGTGATTATATCTTTAAAATTTCACTTCTTTAGTGCAGGACTAGTGAATGGACTTCCCAAGAGATAGGTGATGGAAAACAATAGATTATTTCACTTTTTTCATACCACTTAGCCTATTTCAGCAGATGTCAGAAGCACTTTCCTCCTGAAGCTTGGCATTCCATGACTGAGTGTTAAATCCAAGGAAAACAGCATCAGTGTAACAGGCATGTCTAAGCACTAGCTAGGCAAATACTTCTTATATTTCTTTCTTTCTTTCTTTCTTTCTTTCAGATGTGTCCAGCCAGAGCTGAAATCTCTTGCGGTTGGTCTGTACACACTCATTATGAGAATGCTAGGTAAGAAAAATTATTCTAGTTAAGATGTTTACTTCTGTAGCTTTAAATGACACCAATGCAATGTCCATTTGTGAACCAGATATATACTTGAAATTACTTTTAAATCCTGGGCTGTTCCTGAAGGTCCAACATGCCATTGAGAGTTCACTGAGAAAACAGCTGACACAATTTTTGGCCTACTTATTAAATGTTGTTGCACTTTGGGAGCATGGTGTTCCAAAATAGAAAGTTTCTGAGCAAAACTAAACTGAAATTATCACTCAGCTGATAGCTTTTCTTACTGAGACATAGTGCTGCACATAAGATCAAAAAGAGCAGCTCTAATAGGATTTTGTTCAACACAAATAAGAAAAAGTTCATAGTAGAGAGCGCTGTCCCCCCAAAAACTTTGCTTTTGTGATACACAAGTGCTTAGATTCCCTTTCATTTTTAGCATGCTGCAATGCTCTTTTTTCCTTTTTATCTAAGGATTGTTAATGAGATGCATTGCTAATGAGATGACTGATTAAAATGCCTAGACAGACAGGAAAACATCTATCTCTGTTTTCTTTTATGTTGTCTTTTGTCAATGGAATAGGGAAACCAGCATTTTAGAAATGTCAAGAAATAAGTGTGAAGAGTCAAGCCAGATGGATTTGCTGTGAAGCCTAAGATACCACCAGCAGCTTACAAATATCTACAGTCAGAGATTGATAAGGGCTGTAGTCAATACTTATGATTTTGATGAGACATTTGAGATAGGAAGTTGTACCCACATTTTGTCCCCTTGTACTTTACTCGTCACACAATAATGGGCCAGATTTTATGACCCAGCGTTCAGCACTTGGTCTCTATCATACAACACACTCTGCCAATGGGATTCTTGGAGCTTTGCTGGCCATGGAAGGGGAAAAAGCATTATGAATAAAGAACCGGCCCCTTTTTGCAGACTTCTGCTTGAGCACATCAAACTGGCAAGCACCTTCCATTGAAGGAGCCACTGCCATCGATTCGTAAAAGCTGGCGTTTCTCCCCAGTGCCTTGGAGTTCAGATTTGATGTGCTCCCCTTTCCCTCTCTGGGAGCATCCAAAGTGAACATTCCTCTCATCATTCCCTGGCTGCAGCCCTAATCATCATAATATACAGACTTCTGTAAATAGATTACTGAGTTCACAACCTTCACTAGAACCCCATGCAAGAAGCAAAGTGCAAGATTATATGCCTAGTTTTATAAAATAAATCGCTTCTTATGTAAGAATGCAGGGTGTCTGTGTAGGAGCAAAGCTAACATAAAACATGGTTCCATACATGTTGAAACCTGGATGTCTTTGAAGTTAGTACTCACCTTGACTTCAGTGAGGCTAGTGAGGCTTCAGACATGACATGTCTGTCATGTTTTGGAATAAAGCATAAACTCATAAGTGCCCAAATCACACTAAGGATTTCAGTTGCTCCGTCCATGTAGACATTTTTGATAATTAAATTCAATGCCTCTACTTATGTATACTTGGTTCTATCTCTTCCTATCATCTGCTTTCAGATAGAAATAAAGGACTAATTCAGGCTATATGTTTAAGGGACCATGAGTTCAGTGCTCCACATACACAGCCAGTCCAGCTCTCTCCTGCAGGAGCTTAACATTTGTCCTGAAAGCTGCCAGCGGCTCAAGGCACAGTGTCTGAGAAACCATCGTGCTGGAGGAAGCGAGATGTGAGATTACAAGCCTGACCAAACCTCCACCCTTAGACCACGTTTCCCAGGAACTGACGATCTGTATGGCCCAGAGACAGTGTCCCAGTTATTCTGAATGTCCTCATGAAGTATTTATAAAGGAAAGGAACAATTCCGCACAGCCTCATCTGCCTATGCCACTATTACAGCTCAGGATGGAGCTTGCTGCTAAGAAAGTATAATGCTTTTTTTTTTTTTTGAAGTCTTTTGTTGTGATGTCTTCAGACATTTCTATTTGCTTCATTGCAGCTGGAATTCCAGCCCCAGTTTATTTTGGTGCACTGATTGACAGGACGTGCTTGAAATGGGGAAGCAGAAGCTGTGGGCAGCGAGGGGCTTGCAGGATATATGACTCCAATGCTTACAGGTAAGGTAAATTAGAACACAAAGAGCAAGCCTCATGCATTTTCTCACTGCAGAGAGATGCTCCTTATTTTACCATACTCTACTGTATGAGACCACTCATCAAACAGTATCCAAATGCTAATTCTGGACTTAGACTTAGGTCAGCCCAGAATTCTAAAAATTGAGCAAATTGGTCTTTTGATATGAATGACAGGATCTTTATGGAATGATATACATACATACATACATGCATGCATACATATATATATGTACATATGTCTATGTGTATGTATATCCTCCGAGTCCATGTAAAAGACCTAGGGTTGTACGATTTACCAGTAAGAGAGGAAAGATGCCCAAATTTATCTTATTTGCAGGCAGTTTGTTCATACTGACAAGACCGGTAACCTTGTGCATTGGCCACACTTGAGAGAAAAATAAATGAAAGAAAATCGCTTTGGGCATTGGTAAAATACAAACAACTACTGTCTCCAGAAGGAATATTCTAGAGATTTCTTCAGTGTCACCCAATCCTTGACTGCTTATGATGTATTTTTTTATTTTTATATAAGATAGCCCAATCTAGGGATCTCAATTCACTTCTAGCCCTGAAAAAATCTCGAGCCTTTAAGTGATCCCAAAATCTTTAGCAGCAAAGGGAACATGATGGAAGTTTCACTCTCCAACTATTTTCATAAGCAATAGAACATTATAAATTCTTTGGCAGACGTTTTTAACAGCAGTTTATGGTGCCACCACCAGAGAGAGTGAGTTTTAGATTATTTTTTTCCGAAGCTCCTGTGTGCTTTCTTTGAAAAATTAAAGGCTAGCACTGTCTTTTATGCTCTGTCCCACAGATATGCCTACCTTGGCTTATCAGCAGTGCTAAGAGCTCCTTCCTACTTGTTAGGAATCCTTTTATTAATACTAATAAAGAAACACTATCAAGCTAAGAAATCCAAATCTACAGAAAATGGAGGAAGAGAAGATGTTCCGGTGAATAACGAAGATAATTTCAAGAGCAGTGAACCTCTGGCAGGTTCTCATGAAGAAGAGAAAGAATCCTGTATTTAGAAGGCCGTTTTAGACCAGTGTCACATGAATTAGGGCACCTGGTTTTAGGAACAGCTCTCACGATGGCATGAATAACTGAGCAATAAATAGTAACACTTCTTTGGAAAGTGAAGGTAGTAACAAACTTGTAATCAACAACAATAAGTGCCACACACATTGTTTCACAACACAGCCATGTTTCACTTCCAGGTATGAATATGTGTACCAGGTTACCAATAACAGGCATAACAAGTTACCTGAACAGAGTCAAGTTCTCAGTTGATAAGGAAGGAAAATCCCACCTGGCGTGACTGACAGAGCCTGTCCACAGTTTTTAAGGGTGTCAGAGATGCCTGCTGGCAGAACAGCCAGCTCCCCACGGCCTCACAAAACGTGCCGCTCGGATCCTGCCAGGGAGTGGCAGGTTGAGCTCTAGCTGCAGGGTTCCCATTTCATCACACTCAGTGCAGAATTCAAAATAAGATCTTTAAGCAAAGTGTTTCCACCCCAATGAAATGAATCATCTCAACCATTTTCCACTGCAAAATTGGCAAAATCTGGCAAAAGCAGTATTTTCCCAGAAGACATTTTATCTTAGTTCAACTGAAAACATTATAGCTGGTTATAACCACAAATAGGTTGATAAAAAGGAAATAATTGTTTTTTAAAAAAGTCTCAAGGTTCTAGCGTTGTATTAAAAGTTAATTTTTTTAGTTGTGACTATGAAACATAAATATTCTGAATTTTGTAGTGACACTGTTTTCTAAGCAAAATCTGTCCAGTGTATGCTGCTTTGTCCAAGGTGGCATTTATTGCTATGCCATGTAGTAACCAGCAGAGGACACTCAAAGAATAGTATTACCCATCCAGCGACTGCAAATGCTCGAAATTTTTGTCATGTAGGAAGTTGCTGTTTTGGGGGAGAAGCTGATCATCAGCTATGCGCAACGTTCATCTGTGTTTTCTTGCACCTTAAAACTTTTTCAGCTCAAGCCTTTAGCTCATATTTTCAGAGTTGCCTTTGTATATTTGTTGGTTTGAGGTCCTTATGTTTGTACCAATGAGACCTGGACAACTGTTATTACTTTAAATAAAAAGATGCATGCTGGAGTACCATTTCACAACAGTGATTGAATTCTCTGGTTGATACATCAAAATAGATGCTCCAGGGTAGAGCGGGGATACAGAAATCAGACATATTTGACAACGTACTAAAGTACATGGAGCAAAATGCTAAGGTGAGCTGTTATGTAGTAACAGTGTTGTCCATCCTGAGCATTCATGTAGTAGTGACTACAGCAGCTAAGGGGAGAAAAGGGATACTTTTTTCCAAATAAAGTGATACTTTCTGTAGGCAGTGTCTCTCTGTTTATCAAAACTGCCATTAATTTTGGCTTGGGGCTGCCTAAGAATTGCATTTTCAAATGTTTTGACATATTCAGATAGTGCCCTAGGAATGACCTGAATGAATGAACCACCTTACCTAGTTATCAGACTCTGGAAAGAGTTTTGGCAGGAAAGAAAATGCAACTGTTTAGCTTTGTGTTTTTGTCTTCCACTTTGTCCAGATGGTATTTTGTTGATATGTCTGGATGTATATATGATTTCTTATGGTGACTCCAAAGCCAGAGTTTAGGTGAGACACTTTAGTCCAGTCTGCAAACTTTGAAAACATATATTTTATGTGACAAAATATAGCACTTTTAGCTGAAAACAAGGGCAATTTCTAGAAGAGAAATTATGAGAATTATGCATGAGGAATCAATGATGCCAAAAGAAAAGGTTATGACCTGGGAATTTTGGGGAAATTATTACTCCAGGCTCATGAGGTCAAGGAGGTATAAATAAACAGGTCTCTTTGGACACAGAAGGTTGGCATGAGAAGGTCATAACCTGCTTATCAAGGGCTTTTTTCCCTTTCTTGTGGAAAAATCATTCCAGCCAGAGTCAGGGTGCTAAGCCCAGCTGCCTTTTGGTGCTATAGCAGCTTAGCAGCTGTGACAGAGAGCAACTCTTTGAACTGCTACTAACTTTGAAAAAATGGTGGTCTTCTGTCTGTCATTAAAAAACTGCAACTGTAGGGCATGAATACATGGTGGAGGCAGAGCAAAGAGGACACTAGGGTTGTATTTTGTCTCACATTACAACTCTGTAATTAATTTTTGTGCTACTGTTGTGTCCCAAGAGCTCTTGGTGCATGAGGAGCACTGCACACACGTATGCGCGTGAGCACAGAATGACAACCTCTGCTCCAAGGAGCTTGCGGCTGGGGTCTAGGGCAAGACAGACACAGTGAAGCAGGAACCCTGCGAGAAATAATACTGACTGCTGCTCAATATGCTCAGGAGGGATTTGAAGGATGGAGATAATTTTTGAGTGTCTCTATAGTTCTGGGAGGAAAGCCTGGAAGCTTTTTTCAGTGTTGGTTTTTAGGGGAGAACCATTACTCTGAGGGAAGATGTGCGTGAATGTGTTTCAGTAGCTGTCTATCACTGCAGCCACCGTTTTTACGCATTGAGTACATAGAATGAAGAATCCACATATACCTTCTTATTCATCACTGTAAATGTATCCATAGCTCCCTTCTCCTCACTTTTTGGAGAGGCAAATCAGTGTTATTCTGGTGCTTTCCTTCAGGCATTGAAGTTTTGAAGTTAGCAGCCATACCTCTAAACCCAGAGAGGCAGTTTACAATTAACAAAGCTGAAAGTTGTTGCACTACTTGATTGGTCTGTTTTGTTTGTTTGGGAGTTTCATTGTTGTTTTGGTTTGGGTTGGGTTTCCTTTGAAAACAGTGTGAAAAAAAAAAGGTTTTTCCTTCCTATTACTGCACAGCAAAGCAGCTGGATTGTATCTCTCCCACTTAATAAAAAAATTCCCAATGTCCAAAAACAATATGAAAATACTTCTAGAGCAGTGCTCGCTTTTCTTAAGGTGCTTTTAAGTGTGTATCTACATTTCAAGCCATAGTCAAAACCCAGAAAACAAGTGATTTGTCCAAAGCTGGCTGAAGTGACATGAGCCTAATGCCTGAAGCAATGCAAAACACGAGAAAGGCATATTCAGCTTTTATGGGGTGTATACTACCTCATGGGAGTTATCCTAGTTTTACCCTGAATAAGGATCCACATGCAACAAGATGCACTGCAGAGACACATGGCACAACACAAAGACAAAGACTTAATCCGTCAATTCTTTTGGTGACAGGTTATCAACTGGTGCAAATCAATGCATTGTAAATGACTTCACTGATGTGTCCAAGCTGACAAATGGGCTCATTAGTGCTCAGCTGAAACAGTGTTAAAGATTAGCCCTTTTCCTTTTTTTTTAAGAATTCATAAAACGTGTTTCTTGGCAAAGTGACCATCTGTCATACATTTTATCCATAGCAGCATATCATCAGAAAGTGACTTTAATTTGAAGCATATGAATTTTCCTCTCTAATAAAATTATTGAACTTTTAATAAGTCCCTTAATTGTATGTGCCAGCATGAAGTATTCTGCCGAAACGTGAAAAGCCCAGAAACAGCCTATGGGAATAGTCATGACTTCTGCGAGCACTCTGTTGGATTAGGGTCATCATCCTGACAAAAGATGTACCTGTGATGTGCTTTACCTACTTCCAGGGCAAATGTCTCAAATTTAGTAGGCTCTCTCTTGAGTCATTCCAAAAATGAATGTTAAATTCAATTTGCTACATTCAGCTGGTATCTCAGTAGTTATCCATTATTTTTCAAAGGTACTTGCTAGTGGTTAGCAATAGCACTAGCTGTTTTCTTAGTGTATCTTCCTTTTCGTGCTTTCTGGAATTTCTTACTTCAATACACTAAGTATTTGCAAGTATTTACTTGCAAAAGCTCCTTAGTTTCCAACTATTCACCCTATTTTTTTTCTCTTTTTTTTTCCTTCTTCAAAACAGATTTTGAAAGCGAGTTCAATAGCTGACTCATTTCTGAATCATAATTAATTTCAGCCCACTAGTCATATTTTAATCCTCATTTTAATGCAGGAGATTTAAAGCTGTTTATTGTTTTCATTGACTTTATGAAGGCATTGAGTTAGTTTAGAAAGAAACACTGTGGAATGTAAGAAATGCTTTTCCAGTCCAGGTCTCATAACTGCCATTTTTCCAGCCCTCTGTGACAATTCCCCCAGTGCTGTAAGAAACTCAGCATCTCATCCACGATACAGGTAATTTGATGATGGCACCATCACATTTCATCATGTTCTTAATATTCTGCAGACATTAAGAGGTCTAGCAGACCTGACATTGGCTGAGCTGTTGTTGTCACTATGTTAATAACACTCCTTAATGAGGGATGCATTTTACTAGCTTGCAGTCAGTTTGGACTTATAATAAAATGCCAGAAATGGTTATAAAGGACAACATATGTTTAATTGGGAAGAACAGCAGTGAACATAAAAAACAAATAGATTCCTGTTGCTCCTAAAAAGCTTCACTCTGATAAAGTTTCACCAAAATTAGATTTAAAAAAAAATTACTTAGCAGCAGGTGCTACATAGATGTTCCCTAGAGGTGGGTGGATGGGCAAACATTCAATACCAGAATGCAAATTTAACAAATCAGTGTACTACCTAAATTTTGCTACATCCTAAAACAGCTGCATTTGGTGCAAGCAGTTACCATTACACAGTGCAGAGAGTAGAACCGAGAAGTCTTTGTAAGATGGCAGCTGTAAACAGTTATTTTTTAAGCCGAATTAAGGAGGAAAAGAGAAAATAGATGGGAATATAAGGAACAGGATCTGTTATAGTAGCCAGATTAAATTATTTGGGCCAATTTCTGACAATGTCAAAGAATGGCTGCAAACAATCCAGGCCAGTTGATGCAAAAAGGCAACCTCTGAGTAGGTATTGCATGCAAGGCAGTGGTCATTTGTGTCGGAGCCAGAGCGAATTACTGAGCTGTGCAATTTCTAGTTGAAGAAGAAGGAGAAAATCCTGCATTAAAGGATCTTATCTTTCTTATAAAGTGGTAGTAAAATATCTTCCACATTGAGAGCTCAACAACCAGCATTAACTATTTTTGCTCCTTTCCTGCTCTTCAATTTTTCTCTCAGATGGTGATTTCCCAGCTCTCAGCAGAAAGCAGTGGAAATCCATGTATTTCCACTATAGTCTCCATTAACCTCTGCAGCTCTTAAGTCAATCTCCTTTAATACTATATAGTCAATATAGAATGGAGAAAAACTGAGCTGAAAATAAATGTTTTATTACCGATAAGCATTTGAATGGCCTGATATGAGAAGGAATGTCCTTTATCTGCCAAAACTTCTGTAGAAGGAATAACTATTATGCTTGAACACAAAATCAAGGTACCTATTTTTTGGTACATTAAAACTGAATAGGCTGCCTTGGAATCTGAGATATGTGCATTCAGTTCACTGTTCCGTCGCAGATTTCTTGGGTAAAGAAATGCAAGCTTGGGAACTACCGACAAAATGGCATTTTCCAAAGCATTGAATAACTTGTAAGTCAAAACCTTATCTTTCAGATTGCAGCAGTCTCCAAAAAGCCTAATTCACTTTCAGAAATGAGAAAGGACTTCTGCCACATAAGTGCTTTGAGGAATTCCATGTGAATGGCTCTTCTAGATCACAATATGCATACAATAAAGAAAGTGTTTCGGGAGAGATTTCCTATTCTGAGCGTATATAGCCACAAAAATGAAAAGGTTATGTTCCTCATTAGTATCTATTGAGCTGTTTCGTCGTTCAAGGACTGGAAAAGAAATTGTAGCTTGTAAGTTATTTAGTGTTTTGAAAACATGACTTTTTTTATAGTGCCTAAGCTTGCATTTCTTGATCCAAGAATAATATTTGTTTGGGGATATCAGCTCTGCCACTGGAGGTTCAACTTCTAATCCATTTAGCCCTAAATGGCAGTAGTTTTGGGCACATCTTAGCCTTTCAGCCTTCATCACAGATTATCAGCCTAAACACATTCCCAGAAACCATAGCGGGTTCGTACAGCACAGAGAAGCCTGTGCAAAAGTGTTTTCACCACCACTGCTAGGAACGGCACCTCAGTACAATATGTTAAGTTCATCTATGATCACACCTTTGGCTGCGGTGTAAATCTACCCTTTTCTCATATATTGTTGATTTATAACTTTAGGACCTAAGTAGTCATTTTATTGACCAAAGTAACATCATGTATTTGCAGGCTAAAGCTAGTTAAAATGTTTTTGACCTGTACTGATTTTCTTTTAGAGAAATGCATTATTAAGAGTGCCTAGGACTACATTTTTAGAAAATGCTGAGTACTAATGCTTTTAAATTCAAAATTACTTAATTATCTAAAACAGGGCATGCAAAAACAGAACTCTCCCT